TGAATTTTTAATTAAGGAGTAAAAAAATAAGAGTAGAATTAATATTATAAAACCAATCCGGCTTAACTTCCTTTAATAGAGAATAAACCGCCTCCATGTGAAGATTATTTTTTAATATTCGCACCGGGTACCCGTTGTCCGGTATAAATGTTGGAGTGCCATTGACAGCAATCAGTGATAAACAGAGCGGTACGTCAAGATAATAATACACATTCCAGTAACATTTGGAGAGGAAACTGGGCAGGTTTACTCGCGTCGTGATTATCTTGTGATGAGTTGAGTTGACATTTTATAAATATTCCCGGGTATTTATAGCTATGTCGCTCCGGCCGATCGAAAATCTGATTGGAATGATTGATACCTCGGTGAGCTTGTTATAATCTCGTTCTAAAATGGGACTGTATCTGTAACAGTGTTTTGAGTAACATGGAAATTGGATTGGGGTCCCAAGGTGTGCGATCTTTTTCTTTTTTCGCTTTCCGTCTCTTTCCTGCACGTGACAGAGATAAACAGTTTTAATAACTGTCGTTTATTTCTTATTTTATATTGAATTATCTTCATTAACTAAAAAAAAAGTGTGTGAAACTAATTAAAAATATAAAAAAATAGGTTTGCTTATGAAAGTACTTGTAATTACTACTTTTATACAAAAAAAAAAACGAATAATTAGAACTGATTTTTAACCTTTGTTCAGTTTCAGACTATTTTCTAATTTAATCCAGTTATTATTCAGAACAAACTTCATCTATGATAGAAGGACTTAAACGTAAACTTTTTATTTACTATATTTTAAGACCTTAGACTACTTAATTAAAAAATATTAGAAAAGATCGCACTTCATATTTTGGGCAATCCAAAAAAGAAAAGTTAAATGTAGAAAAAATGGAGCAGGATAAAAGCGCTGAAGACTCTGTATTTTTCTATGAACTTACACACGCCTTTCTTTCAAGCAATATGCCATTAAACAAACCAGAGAACTCCAAGTTTCATAATTCCGTAAATTGGAGTCACATGGACTATCCCTAAATGAACAATTTGATATAATGGATGATATACAAAAAATATATACGATGCCAATAATATACGTACGCGCAGTCAGTAGTACGATAAAAAAATGCAAAGAGTGTTGGCACTACAGGCAAAAATTGAGGACCCAGGTACCATGGCTTCATCCAGTAACAGCGACATGGAGGCGCAAGATCACCTCAACATACCGCCGAGTGATCCTATTCCACGACATGGCACCTAACGTGGAACCAGGATGTCAGAAATGCCAAAAGATAATGCAAATCCACGACATTATGTTGCTTATTTTGATGGACAATATAAGAGAGAATTAGAAGAAGATGGCTGGTCTGTGTTTAGAAATATAACTAAATACAATACATTCTTATGTTTGTTCGCCTAAAGTAAGAGCAGGAATGTATACGATAAGACGAGGTAAATAAACACTGTTTATTTTAAAAAAATTTATTTAGATATAACGGACGTTATGAGAAGTAGGGTTATGTCTAATGTACTAACGTGTTGTTCAATACTCACGTGTTGTTCAATAAAGACAAAAAATACAATTACTGATGAGGAACATCATCACAGATTCATTATTATTCATTACAGAAATATAGAAAAGTATGATATAACGAATGAGATAAAACAAATTGTAAAAAAGATTGTATAGCTATGCAGATTACGAAATCTTAAATTTTTACAAATATGTAGTTATTTTTTCGATTAGAAATATAAAGTTGTTTATTTAGAGTACCTACCTACACATTTGATGCCAGTACATTTGCATGACTTACAATTAGTTTGATAAGCGTTTAGAAACTTCTTAAATTAGTTGCCTTCAAAGGATATATAAAAATATTTTACGCTATAGGTAAAAGACGCAATCGCTCGGCAATCACTTTTTTATGGTAAAAAAATTAATGTTTACTAAGGGTCCCACATCCTATTATGTACGCTGCATGGTACTTAACAATAAGCTATTGTAATTAATCTTAACCTCAACTCAATTACACGTTTTTTGTTACAAACGTTTTTAAATAAAATAATGTGTCCTTGCTACGAAATATACCCATCTATATTTTAATTTATGGATTATTTACAACAGTTATCTTGAAAAATATCGAGGTAGTTGGCGTAAATCTTCCACTACCCCCTGAAAAAAATCTTGGGTGTTATTTTCAAAGGGATAATTTTATATTTTGTATTATTTAATTCTGAAGCAAAGAAAAACCTATTGTTATTTTGATTTCTAAGTTAGTTTATCGGTACACCGGTTGCGAGAGAAATGTTTAGAATACTTTTATATCGTTTAACCTTAAAAATGTAACACATTCGGTTAAAAAGAACCTTTCATGCGAATATGTAAAATATATACCCAATATCCTATCCCTGTTATTATTTTCTTATAAACCCAAAACGTTTCAATCTTTTACTTCAGCCTAGTCCAATTTTACATCTAACTTTGTTATTATTTACGTTTATTATGTCAGTAAAAACGACTAAGACTAATCAATCAAGGCTTACCTTAAGAGGATTGGCCACCATCGTAACTCTATCTCCTGGCTTGCCTTTTTCAAAAGAAAGCTTAATGGATTTATTGTTCCCCGATTGTCGCTGATACAACCTTATTTAGATAGAATTGTTGTTTATGATTCTGTATAATTTCTCGTATTTGTAAACCATTTGTTAAATACCAACACAACATGTACAGTATTTAGGTATTTCTGTTATTCCACAGTGATGTGAACCTAGCCGCAGAAACAAGTCGTAAGCCTGTCTTGGTGCGAAGTTTTTACTGTAATTTCTTTGTAGACACGAATGCCTGTGTACCCTTTTAACTAGGAAAAAATCATCGTGTATCTGAATGTCCATTAGAAAAAAATAAAGAACGTTTATTCAGTATTTGCATTGCAAAAAATAGGTAGATGAATTGTATTTTTTTGTCAAATTATTAATAGTAGACAATCACAGATAAACAAAAAAATTTTACATGAACTTATTTATCTCCTATGCGGACTAGATTTTGGGATAAATCATTTTAATTTTTTTTAATGTAACAGGTACATAAATATATCTGAGGATGTTACATGTAAACTGATGAAACTTATATTAGCGACTTACCCAAGTGAGTTAACCATTACATGAGTTTCTAAAGAATAATTTCAATTAGAAAATCTAGGTATTCTTATATCTTACAAAACGATTTTAAATTCAGTATCAGAAGTTCAAAATTAATCGTGGATGATTTACTTGAAATTTTGATAATATAATCAATTTTGATAATTTTAGAATAGTACTCGTACTTGAAGTAGTATTTATAATGAAAAAAAAAAACTTTTAATGTGCAATGTGCAATATTGTAAAGGGTATGAAAGGTATAAAAGTATGAAATGTACAATCTTGAAACAAAAAACATTCGAAACTATATACGAGTATGTTGGCCTTCTTGATCATAAATCATTCAAAAAATTAAAGTTTGTGCAGTCACCATCCCGTAATAGTATAAAAAGAAAATGTTAACAATGCAGTAAGAGCATCAGCTGCCCCTTTGGATTCAGGTACACGTACTTGATACTGTCTGTCGTTACCTAAAAACTGTTTTCTAAAACTTAACGTCCAAAGGAACACTTGACATCTCTGACACGTTTCACTTCTAAACTTCCTTGTATAATTAAATCATTCAATAATCTCTGTCAAGTAATGGGAAAGCTTATTTGTTCCTGAATCCTTGATGTCAAACATTTTCAATCAAAAGAATTAATCGTTTAAGCAAATACATTTTCTTTTCTAAAATAAATTATTATTTAGGTAACTGTAAAAATGATGCAGAACAAAGTGAAAAATTGACCGCAGTTAATTTCCTGTCCCGTACCAGAAAACCTTTTTATTTTGATATGAATTACAGTTGGTAAAATTCGTTATAGATGTCAACATATTTTAAATTATCAAGTACGGTTTTCAGTAATTACAGGTTTTCTCAACGAAAAAGATAACAGTTTCAACTTTTCTATTATCGACTTTCAGAAAAAAAATGCCTATAAAAATTCGAAAGTTCTATTAGAGCTTCAGATGATCATTATTAGTAAAAAAACATGTATTTCTTAACTGGAATGTCCTACATCTTTTTCTACATTCCAAATCCCACAAAAAATTTCCTGAAGGAGTAATAATAATTCTAATTACTAGTAGGTAATAATTTAATACAAAATAATAACCTGAACTTACAATTATATGAAACTGCTCCGTGATATTATCAAACGTGGTTCCCTTTTACATACAAACCATGTTATTGATGAACGATAAAGACGCCCGGCACTGAAAAACGAGGGTGCTTAAAATTTGCTGATGTATAAAGGGTTTAGTAAAAACTTTATCAGATTTTCGTGCTGAGAACGCTTGTTTGGTAAGGATTCCTTATTGATTTATCCCCCATAGAATGGCAAAGTCTTTCTCACGTCGTATACAAGGATGGGACTGACATAGTGAGGCCCTGGCACTAACTTTTCCATAGGCGTTCTCTGAGGGTACCCCATTCTCCCTTTAATCTGTTTAAAAAATTATGATTAAATATGTATCACATTATCAAAATTAACGCTCACTAAAAATGGGCTAAAATTTCAATTTTTTAATCGCGAAAAATCACTCTTAAATACAGAAAATTTGGAAAATTATATTTATCAAAACAAGAGGAAGGCCTACTTCATCTTGCATCCCTATTTCTTACATCTACGGGATATTAAACACTGAAAAAATCAGTATGAACAGAACAGAATTCCATCCAGGGTTAAAAAACATCATCCGCGAACCCTTAGCTGATCCTTCAAATGTTCTGCCTCTCATGAAATAGTTCGTTAAAGCTTTGGACACAGATGGCGACTGCTTTGGATATTGAGGAGACGAGTTTCAGGAAATAAGAGTTGTTAAACTGAAAGAAGGTACTTCCGCTAGTCCTCAAATCTGTACGGTGATCAGAGACGAAAATTTTATCTCAGAAATGATTGATACTGAAAGAGCAGCATGGCTAAGTTTCAAGTCAAGTTTCTTGAGGAATCAGAAGAGTGAGGATTACCAGAATTTAGTCGAGGTATTGTTGCAAAACTTCAAACAGTTGCCTGATGAACTTGAAATTGCGTTTACTAGACATCTTGACTACTTCCTGAAGAATCTTGAAAACTACAGCGAAGAACAGGATGAATGGTTTCACCATGATGTCAAGAAAATGGAGAGCCGGTACCAAGGAAGGTAACATATTAATATGATGGCAGATTTCTGTTAGATGCTTAAAAGGAAAAACGAACCAAAAACAAAGAAAAGAGAAAAAGGATTAGGTTGTTTGACGATAAAAGTGTTCATTACGAAAGGAAAAAGTAGTAAAAGAAAATTCATTTTTATCTGGAAACGATGTTCACATCTTCGAATACCCTCTGAATGGCTAAATCTATCTCTGGGAAGGAGTTTCCCAAAGTTTATAAAAATACTGGAGGAAGATAGAGTAATTTCAACTGCGGATTCCGCTTTAGCACGTCAAAATACATATAGATATGGTCCTGCAGTCTCTTTTAGTCGGTTTTTACAATTATACCTATAAAGTCAATTCCTCCAAAACGAGATTTTCAGTATTTTCTGTATTCAAAGGCGGTTTTTTGTAATTAAAAAAAATGGAGGGTTATGAAGCAATTCTGGCCCAGGATTCAGATTCAGTGCGCCAAAATACATATGATACAAGGGTGTTATTGTACTTTTTGTTAACGTATTTCAGTTACACTTTTTGTTAGTGTAACTCAGGCTTAATTAAATCAGATCAGAAGCAAAAAAAATAGTAAAATCTGATTATAAATTAAAGCGGCGTTTATTATGCCCAACGGAAACAATTAAGCGCCGCCCCTGTCCGGTATATCCACGTCGTCTCGTAGTAGTCTGTACCATGCGAGACCGCTTATTGCATTATTTAACTTACAAGTAAGACTATAAACTACTAATTGGTAGATTTTTATCGCAATTGCGTGAACTGTAACCTGTGGTAAATGAATGCACTGTTTATATCACGACCGGTTGCTTACAACTATCTATGCAACCGTTTCCTATTGTTCCTCCCCAAGATTCAATAAAACTGATACTGTCCCCGGCGTATTTATTTTGAGCACTCTAGATTTTATCGGGTCGGCTATGTATCTTAACGAAATTTTAAAAAATTTACCTCGCCACGACCTTACATGATAATCTCCGCAGTCAAGAACAAATTTAAAGGATTTAAATAAAATCAAAGATGCTGATAATTGGGTGCGGGTATTCGTACGCCTTAACTCAGATTAAGAGACCTTTCGCTACCACCACGAGAAACCGGCAATTAATTATGCCCCGACTGATTTATTTGCCCGTTGAAATCCGAAGCTACCATTTAAAATCTATCAATGCAATTAAAACCGTAGGAAATATTTATTTCTACCCAAAATGTAAATGTCATACATACATGAAGGACACGCTAGACTTAGAAATGATGCACTAGTTGTATAAGCGTTCAATAAACCTTTTTTGTGTTAAGCTAAACTTTTAGAAATTACGAAGGTAGTTTTTTTTACTAATAATAATTTTACTAGATTCGTATCGAATAAATTGATCGATGCGAAGCTACAGATCAGAGGCAGACATCTACATGTTACTGTACACTGTCTTGGATAGGGGTATTACTAAAATGTGAAGTAGTTGATGCTTAGCCACTATTAGTAAAAATAGCATCTTTTAAAAATTTCGACTATTTTGGATATGCGCCTGTGACCTCGGCAAATGTTGAACGGTTATTTTCGTTTTTGAAATGCGATCGCCGGAGACGATCGTGGAACACTTAGGACAACTGTTAATTATTGTCTATAATCGCTTTCCTTGTGAGTAATAAATTTTTATTTTGTTAACTTTATATCGTTCGTGTCATAAGTAAAAAGGCGAAGCCTGTTAAAAATCTTAACAGTAATGTCAGCAATAAAAGTATAAAGCCCAGTTAAAGATTAAATATAAATAAATAAATATACTCAGTGTGAATATCTTCTTGATCTCTCACATACTGCTGCCCATCTGAATTTATAAACACGCCATAATAAATCATAGCAGGTGTATGTGCCACAGGATGAGTTCAGATACTTACGTTTTATAAAAATTTTGCTGTAATTAACAATCAAATGAGTCTTAACAGCGAACTGGAATCTCAACATCTCAAATTAGTAATTTATATTAAAACCACGTGGCTGTGGGCGATAGACGCACCTTCCCTTTCCACTACGTCCAACCATAGACCATGATCCATGATCTTAGGGTTCCTCTCCAACTTAATTAGCCTCCAAAACTTGTCAGCTTCACATAACTTGTAGCTTCCAGTGTCTTTTATCTTCCGAGGAGTAGATAGCATACTTTTGCTAGGTCATTTCTTTTGTACAATTAGTTTAAATCAGGGCATTCACTTAGGAAAATATCAGTTAGCCATAAGTTGATTTGATTAATCTTAATAAAATATCTGCTTTAAATAAGGATCCAAAGTGCTACCGGTTCTCCTTTTCCAAACCACCGCGCTTCTTGGACTTTTATTGTAACAGCTATTGACAATATCTTTCTTTAGGGGAAAATCCGCTATCACACGGAAAGGACATTGCCTTGAAAATTCACATAATTGTTCCCAAAACCGTGACAAGGACAAATCGTGTAAAAATTCGACATTTACATTTTTGCAATTATTGTGAAATTATTTCTAATGATTTTCTCGAATTTTGTTCTTGTCACTACTTTAAGAACGATTGTGTGAATTTGATTCATTTCTTTCTGTAATATGCGCCAGGAAGTTGATTGAGACACTCCAGGCACTTGTCGAACGATTTGTATCTAAGAAAATTTTTTTTCCACAATATTTAAAATTTGTTTCTCTGCTGCTACAGTATGATTTGGACTCCTACAATCTCCATCTCTTCCTCCTTTCTATCGCAAATTTTCTCTTCCAGGACATCATTGAACCATAAGGGTAAAAGTAGCAGCATTTGACTCATGTCTTCTCGGAAAACGTTCTGCATGTAAACTGCTAATAAACTTGTAAGACTGTAAAATAAATAATAAATCACCATAATAAGGGCATTGTAAAAACCACATTGAATTTGTTAAATCAAATCGACTGAAGCTACTTGAAGTGGCAAGCGAAAAAACTTAAGATACTTTTTAACAGACATACCACAATTCTCCAGCTACGTGGTGCTTTTAAATGCAAAACTCAATTATTTGTTTCTAGAAATCTGTAAATATTTTATCATCACTTTTTTGACGATACTGGTTTGTGCTTTTACTAACGTACATATCAAAGTTTTTGGATAATTTGTGAATCACTTGGTATATCTTTAATTGATAAGAATACGTGAAAATTGTTTTGTTCATAATCAGATATGTGCATATTATTATTTCAGATGAAAAAAACAAGTAATTTGAATTAATTTAATGTATAATTTTAAAACAAAAAAGGGACCTACAAGTACCAATAATAAAAAATGTATAATTATAGGTATTTTATAATTATAAGTTTCTTTTTTGAGACTTTTTAGTAAACTATCGAAATTTATATTGTACGTATTTTACCAACACTATTTTTAGTCGTATGACATGCCACCCTCTACTTAGCTCAGAACATGAAGATAAATGGTTTCTTAAATGGCGCCACAGCAGCCTTATCATCATCTTCAGATTTGACTGATTGTTTGACAATTTTGCACAGTGATATCCGTAACCGATACACCTTGTGATCTTAAAGACTTCACTACAGGGAACCTGTCACAGAGCGGAGTAAACACTGAGTCCAGGTGACAACAGGCGCCACCACAAATTTTTCAAAGTGACAGAGTCTGTCCTTTAACGATATTTAACTGAAGCTGTTTTTTTTCACCTCCTAATGCATCAACATTTGTCTCATAAAAAACATAAACCGTCTTATTTTTAAATGCACATATACTAACCGAACAGTAAGTAATTGAATTTGATGATGATAGCAGACGTCGGAACTTTTTGAGTTTGTTTTTGTAACAGTGAATACAATTTTGCATAAAAGCGAGATTTCCTTTATTTCCACTGAAACTTACTTTGTTTTGAACCATTGTGAGAATGAATTTCAATATTATTTTACCAATAAGAACAATTATTAGGACAAATATTTATATAAGTACCTACTTGCTGTAATTTTAGATACAATATTGAAATGCCAACATATAAAACTTAAGAAAAGGTCCCAATGGGAAAAGTTCTCTCTGTAGGTATACTTTCCTGACTGGTTGAAACATAAAAATGAGAAGCACCTAATCGTTGCGTTGTATTTACAGCTAGACTAAAGACTAAATATGAGGAGAAATATATTTCATATACAATGTCAGAAATCTGCTAATTACAGCAACACGCTTGGTAATTTAATACATACATTTTAATATTCTATTTGCATAATAAACGACTAAAATCCGGCAGTGGATTACTCTTGGCAACAGGATGGTTAATCTGAAAAATGAAAAAGCCCATCAATTTTCCGCATGCAACAGAGCAAAATAAAGTGCACAAAGTACTCCTATTTTGTTTCTTATCTTGTTTGCACCTTTCTCTTTGTTAGAACCTACTATAGATGACTTCCTCTACAAGAAAATTAGATTTGTATATGCAAACATAATCACATGATTAATATACTTAAGATGGCCGATGTTCAGTCGGTGAGAGCATACATAAAGAGAATAGTCACTTAGCATGTTTGCTTATCTTTATGAAACGTCAGTCTACTTGCCACGTATTTACCTTAAGTTAGTACGACTTATTAAATCTTTGTTTCTAATAAGACTTTGAGAAGAGATTAAATTTCAATATTTAAATTGCATCACTGCAACTCGGTTCAGTTAACAATCTGATTATTCATTAAAGGAAAAAGATATTTAAGAACCTGATCTTTAAGAGGAGTATTAAACTGTATGAAACCTTTTCTTTAAAAGCATCTTACATTATACAGAACGTTGCAATATTCCACTGGCAAAATTTTATAGGTTTTTGTATTTGACTAAAAATAAAGCAAAATAAGCAAAAATAGGTCAAGTTCTTAGGAAGTGCAGGTCCACAAATGCTTTGTCTTTTAGATATATTAGTTTTCGTTTTAGTTATTCTCGTTTAGGTTCTTAAGATAGTTAGCCCCGTATCAGGATTGACTTATTATGGTAAGCTAAAACTTTCAATTCACCCAGTTTAGACAT